TTCATTTCCCAACCAACTGGACGCCGTTTTTTTTTTTCGATCATACGGTATTATAATCAAATTGAATTGACAATAAATTCGTGTGCCCGTGTTTTATAAGCCGTCTGCAGAAAATTGACAATAGTAATAAAAAGATGACACATGGCAATGTTTATCCCAAATTAGAAATCGATAAGTGTTCTCATTAATAATAGTAATGTGGATATATTTCCCAGAACTTACTTTAACTTTACTTAAAAACTAATTTTTTAATTTTGCACTAGTTTATAGCACTTAGCAATCTAATAATCAATCATTTGTCTGTCATCAATGTCTCATACACACTTCTATAATTATTTAATACATAATCTTACACTGGTTATAATGGTCGATCTGTCGACAATAGAATTTGCGGTATTTACTACACTATGTAATTAATTGATTATCTGTCATTATGTAACTGCGGATGTACGTCACTAACGTAATAAAGCAAAAAATAACCAATAAATAAACTAACCTTTTGGTTAGGTTTTTATTGGTATCTAATAATACGTGGCTTTGGGTGCCAATGAGGAAGATGCATATATTTTATTTTTCGCCAGAAACTGTTCAATTTATTAGAATAAATATGTGTAAATGCAAAAAAAACTTTTTTCTTGAAAGCAGTACCACAATTTTATAAAACGGGCCATTAAAATACTATGGATAACGCAAACGACGCCTCCCGAATTGAAACGATATTCTATTGGTCTGACGTCACCCGCCGTCCTCGTCGACGCGCGATGGCCAGCAGCAGCCAGACGTGTTCCGTTTATGTGCGTATTTAGGTGGCGTACTAAGACATTTTTGTTGCTTTTAGCATTGATTGAAGGAGCTTTTTATGCTTTTTTGTGCAGTTATTATTTGTATGTGTTGTGTGTTCTGAGAATTTTTTTAAGTAATGGTAGACTCCGGGTTTGTAAAAGCACAATCAGATAACTTGCCAAAAGTCGATGCTTTTATGTTGGCTGCTTTTATAAATACAAATTCCCAATTTATTGGTGCTGAATTACGAGGAAAAAAACAGAGAGGTATGTAACATTTATTATTTGTAGTACTGAGGCATATTTAAGTATAAGTAGGTACCTACTGTTACGAACTTTTATATAGTTATAAATATTTATGTTATAAACTTATTTTTCAGATCAGGTAGGGAGACGTATGGAGATAATGCTGTAGGTTATGTAGAAGTGAAAAGAGACAAAAATATTTGTTTAGTACGTGGAAAAATAACTCCAGAGCATAGCGTGAAAAAGAAAGTTTTTTTTATATATTGACACCCCCTTACCCTTGTTATTTTTAAAGATTGTTTTTTTTACGAAATTATAGGAAATAAATTGTTTATCAGTAATGAAAATATTATACAAGAAGAAAATATTATTTCCCATAAGCAAACGCCAAAATTAAGTTACTTTTTTAAGTGAAACACCCTATATATTTTTGGATTCTTCGGAAATTTCTAGATATTCTAGATATATTTTATGTATAATATTCTATACCTATCTTCAAATGTTTACGAAATATTCACAGTTGAAAAGCGAAAAATACCTACAATTTTCTGGACCACCTTTTTTGAGACACTCGTATAACTAGAATTAATATTAAAAGAGAGTATATGAAAAACCATGCAACTTTTTTATTTAATGTTTTAAAACTTGCAGTTAAGGCTGTATATGGGTGTCAAAATATAATGAATAACCCTGTACATTCAAATTTCATATACCTATGTAAGACAATATACATAAATATATGAACTTACATCAAAATGATCTTCACAACAATAAATCGTAAAAATAGAGGATAATTTAACGTTTTTCTTTTCATCTCTTCTCATGGCCTTGGACCATTTTTTTCTGTTTTCGCTCATCCATTACTATTTATAAATATCACTAATTACTAATTATGTATTAATTAACACAAATAACTAAAATTTTGACTCGGATTCAATAGCGTTTAAAAGCAAACTGTGTAAAATAAACACGCGTCTGGCTCCACGCAACCAGAAGACCGGCGGGTGACGTCACAGCGGCAAGGCGCGGTAGAGAGCGTTTGCCCGGCCATTTAAATTAACAATATTTAATTATTTTATATAAGAAGCATTTCTTAACCGATATCAAGGATTTTTTTTTGTTCAATTTGTAATTATATGAACTATTTTTTAAAACCATTATTAAAAAACATGCATTTTCCTCATTGTGTGTATGAAGAGTACTGTCAACGTGTTCAGTACAGTACGATATACTGAACAAAGAGATAAGAGCAAGAATTTTCCTAAGTGCATGAAGTAAAGCGTCGGATTAAGTGGATATAATAAACTTTGGATTTTTTTCTCTCCGACTTACAACATCGCCATAGCGATTCATTTGTACACATGTAGGTAAATGCCGAGGGGTAAGCCACTGACAAATTTCTGTACACTAATACCACGTATAATGCCAAAAATGCCAATTAATACCACGATTAATACCACTAATACCAAATAATGCCAGCATCTTGTACACCAAAATACACTAGCGGTTTACCCCTCGGTAAATGCTGACCCAAGACTTTCTCTTATAGATCCGGTATAAATCTATTATCTTAGCTTTAAATAAATTAGAATAAAATATAATCTATTGCTAAATCATCAGCTATTGCAATCTAAAAAAGCTAAATATAATATATTACAGTTGTAGTAAAATGAGTGACTAATTGGGGAAATTAAGATCCAAACCTGATCCAACCCTAGATGCAACATTTTTCGTAAACGTCTATTTGTGCGAATTGAAATTTTGATGCAAGATCCGGCAAATCCCGCATAGAAGAAATGTACCAACCATAGACTTAAAATAAAATATAGACTATACTATTTACATCTGAACGCGGTCAAACAATCATTTTTGTACACATGTTTACTTCTGGGTACACTCGACCGCAGCCGACCAAACCTTCCTCATCCAGCCTATGTTGTCTTTAATATTATCAATATTTTTTTACTTATTATACACATATATTGAGATATTAATACTGTATTTTAATAAAGTAGGTTTTAATATTCCATAGATGTATTAAATAGTCCTTATACTACTTAATTATAAGTCGAATACTATGTAAAAAGGATAAATCCTTTACAATATGGCAACACCGATTAGAGGCGAGGTCGCCTATTCATTCATTTATTACCTTATTGTACGTGTTGCACGTGTGCGGTAAAGCTTTGTTGCCGCTATCTCCCCGGCTGTATTAACGCATTTTCTTAGCTTGTAGTCCTTAAGTGTTTATTTTGTTGACTTTTTCTGTTCAAGAACTATAAAATATAGTTCGTCAGTGCCAAATTTGCAAGAAATTTGACTTAAATAATCCATTTAAGTCTTGAAACGACTTTCGACCGGTAGGCAATTCTCAATTTACCCATTGGGATCAGTGGCGTTGTTGTAGAAAGGCGCTTATTTAGATAATATTTTAGTAAAATGTAAAATCTGAATTTTTTCTCTTACATAATCATTTATATAAAAGTTTTTGTAACTAAATCATAGTTATTATAACCCTGTTAATAATTAAAAATGTTTTTATTAAAAATATACATATTCCGGTTTATTCTAAAATTATCTTCAGAATCTAAAATAACATACAAGAATTTTAAAATGATATTACATTATGAAACAATATTTTTTAATATACCGGGTTCGTCTCAAAAGTGGCTCACCCCTATAACTTTATTATTTTTTCAGATAAAAAACAGATTTGTATGTTAGTAGGCATAGGATAAATTAGGATTGATTGATGTATTCAATTGTTTTTGGTCTCTTCGTGTTTCACCGGAAATTCACCTTTTGATTTTTAAAGGCACCCTCGGTATATTGCTACTTTATTCGATAAAAAATGACACTCTGAATAGAATGACATATCATGTCAACTTTTGACATTGTCGCTTAAAAGCAAATTGTATTTTAAATTTCAATCCAGGGTGCCATGGTGTTGTTAAAAACACTAAGTTTTAATCAAGGAGCCTTGGAAAAATAGTTTTGATCGTCTAATGGGTTTCATGTTTTGTCTAGGCCGGTTAAAAGATGTACAAATCGTATTTTTAATCATATGTCAATTTTTTCAAATTGAATAAGGGTGACTCATTAGCATATTTGGAAAAAGCATTTTTATGAATATATTGATACCAAACACATGGTATTTCGAGTCAAATTGTCGTTATGAACTGCGTGTTACAATTAGGGGAAAACCGCTATGAAACGGACGGGTGTTGAAACGGACATTTGTCTTAAGTCCTATTTGATTGAATAGCCGAAAATTTTACGGTTACATTTGGCAACCCCGCGCGCCGCTTCCATTACCACCAAAATTGCGGGCTGAACTGGCTGATCGTGTCTCGGCGGCAAGAATTTTAATATTAGGTGTTAAAAAACTAATTTTCTTTGTGAAAATATTGAACTATGTCTCAGGTAAGCTATTGAAATTTTGTCAAATTCAGATTAATAAGTTTAAAACTAAGTTATTATAGTACACAAATGAAGGTATAGACCGTATAAAATATTTCTCTATTTACACTTTATAATGTCATTTAGTGGTTAAGTGGGTGTTGTCTTGAAATGGACACAAGACGCCGTATTGAAATGGACGTGTCCGTTTCAATACACGATGTCCTTTTCAAGGCTTTGTGACAAATTTGTTAAGGAATAGTAGGTAGTTTTTAAACTTTTCATTAAAATTAGTTGTTTATTTTTCAGATCAATATTTCTACACGAAAGAAAAGGTTACGACCAGCCAGTGATGTAATCGAAACCGCCGTAAGAGAAGTTTTTGATAAAAATCAATCTATCCGGTCGGTAGCGGCAGCCCATTACTTTTCCAAACCTTATTTAGCTTCAATTTGTAAAAGAGCTAGAACTCAGAAGGAAGATTATCGTCATCGACCTAACATAGGTAATAAACGTATTTTCTCCCTTGAACAAGAAAAATTATTGGTTGATTAACTGAAAACATCATCAAAGATGTGTTACGGTCTCACAACCGTGCAAGTCAAGGAACTTGCCTACCAGTATGCAAAGGCTCAAGGAATTTTACCGAAACCTTGGAAAGAAAAGGAGATGACATCAAAAGACTGGCTACTTGGTTTTATGAAAAGAAATTCAACATTAAATTTAAGAAAACCAGAAAACACTTCTCTCTCTAGAGCGACTTCATTCAATCCAACGAATGTCAGTAATTTTTATAGCAATTTGGAGCGAGTTCTGGAAAAACATAAATTTAAGCCCCATATGATATGGAATTTAGACGAAACCGGCTGTCTCACTGTTACAAATCCAGTTTTAGCAACTAGAGGTTCAAAACAGGTCGGGCAAGTGACCTCAGCCGAAAGAGGTAATTTAGTTACGATGCTTGGATTTATTAATGCCTCTGGAGGAACAATTCCTCCCGTTTTTATATTTCCCAGAGTGCACTTTAAGGAAATTATGCTGAAAGGAGGGTCTACTGGCGCAAAAGGAATTTCTAATCCAATTGGTTGAATGACGGAAGAAGGATTTTTGGATGTGAATTACTTCCACGGGAAGAAACTTAATGATAGTGAACAGTCCAGTAAGAAAGTTCCTCTATGCCAATTTATACCAAAAGAAAACAGAGAACCCAACACTCAACCTAACGAAAACAATAACGTAGTAAATCAAGATAATTGTGTCTGTTGCAAGGAAGCGTATCAATGTAGCAAGACAGACTGGTTAAAGTGTTTCTTATGTTCTTCTTGGGCACATAAAACATGTGGTATTCAGGATATTAGAAATTTTTATTGTAATAACTGCTCTTAAGATATAGTTTGTTTAAATTAAAGTTATTTTTGAAGCAGTTAATGTCTTTTAACATAAATGTCCTTTTCATAACCACTACTGTCCATTCCAATACATCGATGTTTTGAAATGGACAAAAGCAACTTTTTTCAAACTTAGATATTACTCCCAATTACAATATTTCCAAAATAAATTTAGTAATATATTTTAAAAGCATATTGATGAAGCTTTCAACCTATGTAGTTTTTAATACATTTCATTATCGATTAATAATTAATATAACTCCTTTTAATAATATGTCCACTTCATAGCGGTTTTCCCCTACAATTAAACCATATGCGAAAATGTCAAAAGTTGACATATGATGTCATTCTATTCAGAGTGTCATTTTCTATCGAATAAAGTAGAAATATACCGAGGGTGCCATTTAAAAATTAAAAGTTATAGTCATTTCCGGTGAAACAGGAAGTGACCAACAAGAATTGAATGCGTCAATCAATCCTAATTTATGTCATATACTAGCATACTAAATCTTGTTTTTTTATATGAAAAAATAAAAAAATTATGGGGGATGAGCCACTTTTGGGACGCACCCGGTATAATAAAGACAGTACCGAGTTAAATAAATGTAGTTTTTCATTTTATCCACTTCCTATCACCTTTCTTGCTTTAATGGAACAGATTGATGTTTTCTCTAATTTACATAAATAAGACATCACTTAACCAGAAGAAAAAAAATTACAACAATGGGCGCGTTCAGGGACGGTCAGCGGCTGAGTGGCTGAGTAAGCGATTTCCCTAAACGGTCTATTCTGACGAACAGCAACAGTCAGCCGCTGTGCAAAATTCTCAGCGGTAAATATTTAGGCTGAGACAAGTCAGCCTTAATCTATTCCCTTATCTGTGGTCAACTAATGTAAAATAACTAAAAATAACTTTAATTTTCTCAGTTTATTGTTTACTTTTTATGGTTTGTTGAAGTTGGTAGTCAATCGTAGTTAATCGAATCTTTAAAAAATAGGAGATATTTGTTGCCAAAAAAGTTACAAAGCAGTAGGTTAATCTAAAACGTTTGAAAAAGACTTGTAAATAGAGATCGAAGAAGTTAAAGAAATAAAGAAAATTCAACTTGATTTCCATCTCATGTAGAATTTTCTAAATACATTGAAATTAAGAAAAAAAACTACTTTCTGAAAAAATCTAAATCAGCATAAATAACCTTTGATTGTTGTAGAAATGAATACTCACAAGTCGAGTTTAAACAAATATAATTAACAATTAATCAACTTAATACATCAACAAAAATATTAAAACACTCAAACACGTTTCTTATTTACAATCCCCGTTTCTACCAAACTATCGATCGCCGGCACGTCAGCTGATCTCCGACCTCGCCGGTAGTCGCGGCGTTGCCACTGTTCCCAGTATCGGTCTATGATACTGCTACATCCTCTCCTTTGCTTTCGAGATTTATTAATCCATCAGCGTGCACGAAGGGTCTGGACCAAGTTTTAATCCTTAGCTTTGGAAGAGGTAGACCTTGTGGGGAAGTGCTTTCATTTTGGGCTTCTTCTTCACTATTGGAGGGATGTTGGCGGATGTGGAGAAATTCTTTCGTCTTGGGCATCTTCTTCACTGGTGGGGGACGTCGATAACTTGGGAGAGTAGAGTTTTAAATATGCGATATTTCACCGTATTGTATTGCTTGTTGTATTTGATTTTAAAGGTAACATCGCCTTGGTGTTTATTGATCACCTCGTATAGTTCATTTTGATACGGTGTACTAAATTTGTTTTCCTTTCTCTCTGCTCTACTAGAACCGTGTCTCCTTCGTTTATATCCGATGTCTTTGCTCGTCGCCTTTTGTCAGCAAATTCTTTTGTTTTAGATTTCAAGTTTGTGTCGTTATCCTACACTTCACAGTGGTCAGTGTGTTGAATTATTTGTTCACCAATGGATGGTATTTTTGTTCGAATAGCGCGGCCAAAAAGAAGTTGCGCTGGAGAGACGCCAGTTACAGGGTGTGAGGTATTTCTATCAAGCCGAAAGTAGTTTTGAAGGTCCTTTTGCTAATCACTTCCTGAGGTACTTACTTGCACTTATGCGGAGCCTTTTTAGTATTGAATTGTTTTGTCTTTCGACCAGTCCATTTGCTTTGCGGCCATTATGGTGGGGTTGAATATAATGTAATTCCATGTTCCTTACAAAAACATTTAAATTCATTGCTGATAAACTGTCGGCCATTATCAGCTGTTATAGTCTTGAGTAGTCCTAGGAGAGAAAAGAACTTCCGAAGTTGTTCTGTTGTATCCCTCGAGGTGATTTTTTATGGCGATCACTTCTTGGAATCGACTATAATAGTTAATGATTACTAACAGGTAGATATTGTTAGGCATTGGCCCACAGAAGTCTATGGCTATGTCATTCCAGGGGGTAGTAGGGAAACTTCTCATCTTAAGGGGTTCGGGTATGTTCGTTACGGTGACTAAAGCACACCCATGGCACTGTTTTACATATTCGGAATATATCAATATATTTTCGGCCACCATGCATAGGCTCGTAGTAAGCGTTTCATATTATCTCTTCCTGGGTGTCCTTCATGACTTAGTGACAATTCTTTGCCATGTAAGGCCGTTGGCATTACAATTTTGGTGCCCCGTAGAAGTATATTTTCATGAAAACAATATTCTGTTTTGAACGGTTTATAAGTTTGTATTAATTTTTCAGATTCCCACAACTTGTCATCGTCTAGGCATTTCTTAATGTGACAATTGTCACTTTATCAATCCGAAGATTTTGGAGGTCCAAACGGGTAGAGTTGGCCTAATATGTTATTGTTTCCGGTACTTTGTAGGAGCATATGGAACTATAAAGTATTTTTCGGATTAAACGTCCATATTCTTTCATGACTTTTTAGATGATCATCCAAATGGCTCAAACATTATGCGTTTTCAAGCTAAATATACCTAGATTAAAAACTTTTTTCCTTAGTTATTTTGTTATTACTGACGGTGGACTAATATTTTAAAGTTTGACCCCAGTTTCAAGCAAATTATTATTATTTTTTTTCATGAGTTTCTATTGCAAATAATATAAAAATTTGAAATATTTTGAGAGGCGCTCGAAAATTTTGTCATATAAACCCACTAATTTATTCAGAAAAGTCGATTGCGTTCTGGAATTTACCTACAAAAGACCTTAAAATCGCAGGATAAATATCGAAAAAAATAATAATGGCTTCCATAATAATTTTCCATCATGACATTTATTTTTATGAAATGTGAAATCGCCTGAAGAGGTCGCTGCGAATAAAGTTTAACAGTTTAACGAAAGTTCCACATGTCATGTCGGTGGAAAACACTTGGCTGCTACGAACCCGCGACTAGGCAGCTTCGTAGCAGATAAGTAGCATTCACCAGTAGACCAGTGTTGTTACAATAGGTACAATTGTACTATTTTGGGTACATTTGATAGTCAAGGAGTACATAGGTACATTTGCAAGAAAATATGTACAATTCTTACTTCTCAAACCCAAACTTAAACCGACGTACATATTTTTAGACGAACGGTGATACGCGATGCGTAGATTTGAAATGCAGGTTGCTAGGAGCAGAGGCACAGAATTATACATCACTTGAAATGCTGTTCAAGCCGCACGGATGTCAAACGTAAGTTTGATATCCATGCAGTGAGTAGAGGGGGCTAATCACTGCGACCTTAGAGATCTATTGTGTCCCGATATCAAACGTGACGTCACGCAATTAGTTCCCATTTAACAATGCTATTCAAAGCTCTTTGTAGCTTCTGTATTGCTCTCCTCCATTTGCGAATTTCAAGTTCCAGAGCTTTAAGCCCTGAGCTGCTCAGAACGGTTCTGAAAGGAGCTGTGCGAGATAGCCTGGTGCCTCCATATGGCGCGGAGCCAGTTCTGAACTTTATGACTAAATTGAATTGAATGGAGGGAGAGTATCGCGTTCTTGAACAATTCAGAGCTGCTCGACTGGGTGAAAGGAGGACAGCATACGGTGTATGATTCTGTGAGGGTGCATCCACATTATCCTAAAAAAAGCGGATCGGCGGCGGCGTATCGGCGTAACGACCTTGAATCGATTTCCAGCAATTCTATTGGCTGAAAAATTCATCTGTCAAATTCACCTGGCAAAACTTTCAGCCAATAGAATTGCAGGAAATCGATTCAAGGTCGTTAAGCCAATACGCCGTTCCGCTGTTTTTAGGATAGTGTGGATGCACCCTACGTACCAAAACTTGGTAAAAAGGTAAATAGAGAGATCACATGACCCCACATTTTTGCACCAAAAATGTACAATCCCACTTAAAAAAGTACAATTTTGACACCATTTATAGTACAAAAATTTTTGCCCTTGTAACAACGCTGCAGTAGACTACTTTATAGTAACACATCATAGTAACTCTTTTAGTGGCAAAACTACCCAAGACACTACCCGGCTACTCAAAATCTTTCCCAATTTTGGTCGCAGTTACTTAGCAGCTACGAATATACGACGTAGCCGTCACTGCCCACTTTGTGGTGGCTTTGATAGTAGCAGTTACGTATCTGCCACCTGCCACTATAAATGCTAGTTTGGAATTTATGTCATATACTAACATACCAAATATCGTTTTTTTTTATTTGAAAAAAATAAAAAAGTTATAAGGGTGAACCACTTTTGAGACGCACCCGATATATCAATTTGTACATATTA